AGTCCCGGTAACGAGCTGCCCTGCTCCCGCAGTCTCCCGAGCGGCTCCCTCCTCCCGCCGGTGCGGAGCTGGGCGGTGGGGGACAGCATGCCCGCGCGCGCCGCGTGAGGACGCCGCGGCCCCCGTCCTCGTCATGGGCACCCCGGCCTGCGCCCTCGTGTTCTGCGTGGCCGTGGCCGTGGTGGCCGGTGTCGCCTCAGAGCCCCCGGGCACGGAGCAGCGCGTCGCTGGGAAAGCGGCAGGTAAGGGAGGACCCAGCAGTCCTGGGGGCGGGCTAGGGCCCGGCAGGCAGAGGTGTCGGGGACCCAATTGGGCCCTGGGTGGGGAGGGGACGCCGGGTCTGAGTAGCTCGGCGGGGCGGGTGCCCGGATTCCGCTGTCTTCCCTAGAGATCGCGTCCAGAGCCAGAACCGCGGTTTGTGGGGCGCCGGAGCGGCCGGGCACTCCCCAAATGCCAGGTCTCCCCGGGCAGCGGGGCGCAGCCCCCGCCCCTCGCGTCTCCCCCGCTGAGGCGCCGTCCGGAAGGCGCGGGGGTGGGGGCACATTGTTGTTCTTCGGGTTCTGTTGAAACGGAAAGTTCCCATTGTTGGCGTCCCCTCCCCTGGGCCCCAGTGCATGTCCAGCTTCGGCCAAAGGGACAGGCTGGGTGTGAGCGCAGCAGCAGAAGCCCGACTCCTGTCCCCCGTGGTCGACGTAGCGAGGTGACACCCTCTAGTACCAATGCTCCCCCGCCCTGCCCTCTGTCCAGTGGTTGGAGGGGGCCCCCTGGTTGCACGCCGGACGCTGGACGGGCGTCCTTATGTCGTGAGGCCTCGACTGGGGCTGGCGGGCGAGGTCGGAACAGGCGCGCGGGGCCCAGAGGTACAGAGCCCGCACACGCTCGCAGGGCCGGCGGGGGTGGGTCCGGCCGGTGAGCTCACGCCCCACCCGGGCCGAGGCCCGAACAGCTTACCCTTTGTAAGTCGACGAGACCACAGAGCGCGCATTGAGGGGGCGGCGGGCAGCGGGCGGGTTTTGGGCAGATGGCGGCCGCCCAGGCCTGCGCCCCTTTCTGCGGCGGCGGCTGCAGCCTCCGGAACAATGTCATTTTTTTATGAATGAAAGTGAGCCCTGCGCCTGAATGTGCGTGTCAGTCAGCGGCGTGACAGGGGCCGTCGGGAGGTCAGCGCGCGCTTTCAACGCCTGCTCCAGCTCGGGGGAGCCCGGCATTAGCATTCGCATTCGCATTCAGATGAAGATATTACTCCCTGTGGCCGGGAATGTCAACTAGCCCCGGGGGAGGGGCGCCACCTCTACCCCCCCCCCCCCCCCCCCCCACCCCAGCGCTACTGCCACCGCCTGCGGGGCTGCGCTGCTGGTGACCCCCGCCCCCCCACTGGAGCTGGTGAAACAGGTAGTGCGTTCTTAGGTCAATAAACTTAATCCGGTTCCTTAACGAGACTCCGGCTGGGCAGTGAAAATACAAAGACCTCGTGAAATTTACAGAGGTCTGGGCTGGCGCTTTCCCTGGAACAGAAATATTGGGGCGGGAGCTGTCTGGGGTCTAGGGCTAAGGGGAACGTTTTTGGCTGCTGGACAGTCAAGAGCAGCCTCCCATCTAGACTCCTGGCCGCTTCTCTCAAGGTGGGGGCCTCAGGCGGCCCCTAGGGTGCATGCAGGGCAGTTGTCCAGTGGGTCCTGTAGCCTGACAGTACCCCACCCAAGAGGCCCTGCCTGGCTGCTACCTCCGCCAGCCCCTCCACCAGGCTGGACTTTGAGCCCCGTTAGCCTCTGGGTGGTTCATTAACCTGGGGTGAGCCTGAGAGCCCCTGTTACCCATCCCCCAAGGCCTCAGGTCTCACTTTGGCCTGGAAGTGGCCCCAAGGCACCCTCTTCACACAGTTGATCCTAGAGGGGAAGCCAGGGGCTGGAGGTGTCCTTGGTCTCCTTCTCAGTCTCAAGTCTCAGGAGAACAGGTTGCCCGTCAGCTTGAGTGATTTACAAGTCCCCAGGGCTGCTCTAGGGGGGCAAAGGGGGATCTACCTGGCCTTCCACCTGGGGCTGCCAGCTGCCTGAGAAGCTCTGGGCTCCTCCTCCAACCTCAGTTTCCTCACCTGTTGGACAGGACTGATAATGGCAGGGTTGTTTGGAGGATTAGGAGGATAATCCTGGTAAGCCCTCATTAGCCCGCCCAGCCTCCGGATCCCTTTTATTATGAAACTTTGAGGAATATCTCTGGTTGGAGAGTGAGGTGGAAAGGCAGGAAGGCCAGACTCCAGCCCTTGGCTTCAGGTCCCTTTGGGGTTCCCACTTCAGGTCCCTTTGGGGTGCCCTCTTCTCTTAGGCTCTTTGAAAGTACCCAGTTGGCAACATGGGCCTGTGAGGGCTGCAGAACGGCTTTGTTACCTGACCCCAGGTCCCCGTCTCAACCCAGAACCCAATCCCTTGGGGTGGCCAGCTGCAGACAGAGTCTGATTTAGTGCTTATACTCTGGGGTCGACCTGGGGACCAGAAGCATTGCAGTCTCTCCATCTCACTCTGTGCCTCCCAATGTGCTGGGGGCCTTAGCTGGTGACCCACAACTGAGAGGCTCCCTGAGATAAGGACAGAGCCCTCCCCAGCAGGCTGGCTTGGCCTGGTGGACATTAGTCCCAGGGCAAGAGACCCAGGGCAGGGAGTGTCTCCTACTGCCCATTTTCACAGCCTCCAGCCACTTAGGGTGTGATGGCCCTTTTGGGCCCCTGGACCTGTGGGGGTGGAATTGTTACCTTGTGCCGCACTGGGGGAAGGGGGCACAGAGCCAGTGAGTGGCAGAGACAGGGAGATGCCAAGAAGCGCTCCCAGACCCAGCATGGCCCATCCAGGACCTGCACCCCTGGGCTGGACCCGTGGGCTATTCCTGGCATGTGGCACCTGGTGGAGTCCAGCCCTATGGGGGGGGGAGGCTGTACCCTCCCTACCTGGAGCTTAGCAAGAGTTATTCTCCGATGTTTTGACTCTAGTGCCCATGTTGCTCCCCCCCTCCCATGGGCTCTCTCCCAGTGGGCCTCCCTTTTGTCAACTAAGAAGGAGCCCTTCTTTTTTGTTGTTGTTGTTGTTGACTGGGGCCGGGTTTGAACCCACCACCACCACCTCCGGTATATGGGGCTGTGCCCTATTCCTTGAGCCACAGGCACTGCCTAGAAGAAGCCCTTTCTGCTGGAGGAGCCACACAGCCTGGTAGCAGGGTCCCTGGGTGGGACTAGACCCTGAGCTCCTAGAGTGCCTCCCATCAGCCTCTGCTGCCCCTAAAGCCTTGTCTGAAGTTGGCCCCGGGCAGGGTGGCTAGGTGGGCCTTCTCCCCCACACTGGTGGCACTGTGGATCTGGCTGGTCTGTGGCTGCTCTGTGTCCCCCAGCCCTGGATGGACCAGGTTGAAGGGAATACTTTTGCAGATGGCTTGACCTGTGTCACCACCCACACCAAACTGGAACCAACCAGTTGTTGCCCTTGGGCCTGAGCCTGGGGTTGAGGCTGCCGAGACTGGCCTGTTCTTGGCCTTATGGGGAGCCTCAGGCAGCTCCCAGCTCTGGGTGGTCCCCACAGGACACACTGGCCAGGACTGGAAGGTGGGAGGTCAGGCCAGGAGCCCCGCTGACTTTTAGGCCCCCATAGGAGCTGGCCCTGAGCTATGGATCCCTATGAGATACAGGCAGCTCCAGTGGGTACTTCAGGGTGAGTGTGGGTCCTTGGGGCTGACAGAATCCTGGTAGGCACTGGGCATGTGGGGCTGGCATAGGTGGGGTGGGCAGAGTTGGGCCTAGCTGGGGTGCCAGAGACTGGTGTGGCTGGAGTGGGCAGCTGGGCCCTCGAATCTAGGCCATGCGTCAGCAGAATGACAAGTGATGGGGCAGCAGGCCCAGCTAGGTTGGAGAAGAAGGCCGCCCGGCAGGACCACCCACCACTGTCCCGGGCCCTAAGCCCAGGCCACCCGCCTGTGCAAGGCATTATCTGGCCTGACAGGAAGGTCTGGGGGTGATGGTCAGATGGTGTGTGCCTTGGTGGCCCCTGGGGAGCTGGGCAGCTGCTGGACAGGGGAGGGACCCAGGGGCCACCTATGTGTGCCCATGGGCCTGTGCCCTCATCCCAGCTTCTCGGCCCTCAGAGAAAGGCCCAGGGCTCTGACCTGCTATCCTAATGACTCTGATAACTGCCTCCCCCATTCTGGGTCCTCCTCTGTAAGGTGGGGCTTTAGGCAGGAGCCCGCCTCCAGCTGCCCTGTGAGCCCACATGGGCTCTTCACCCCACTGGCCTGGATACCCATCTTGCCAGACCTGGTGTCCTTATTTGTATTGTGGTCTTTTTCTCTGTGTGTTTTCTGTAATGACTGCTGTGTGGAGCTTCCATAGACTGTGGGCATAGGAGGTCCCCACCCCAGAGAGCCCTTGCCTGGCACCTAGGGCTGCTCATGCCTGTGCCTGGCTGAATGGAAGTGACCCCTGCAGCAAACTGTTGGGTGGGTCCGTCCTCATGGCTGCCTGGCCCTGGTCTCTTTCCTTCTTGGTTCTGTGGCCCATCCTGTTCCCTTGCTGTCCACCTTCTGAGAGGAGGGCTGGGGGTGCCCTGGGTAGACCTCCTTGTGAGGAAGCTAGCCCACATGTTTCCCCTTCTCTGAGCTCCTTTTCAGCCTGAAGTCAGCCAAATACAGCTTTTCTGTGAGTCCTTTCTTGCATCTGTGAGTGGAGAATGGATTTTACCTTTTCAAATGGCCAGATGAGCAGAGTGATAATAATTCACGCTTAGGCATTGAACTCTTTAGTGTCCGTAAGTGAAGTTTCACAGGAGGGCAGCAGTGCTGTTTATTCACAGGCTGTCTGTGGAAACTGCTGTCACCTGTAATATTAGAGCTGAATTCTAGGAGCAGAGACAGGGCAGAAGGCTAGAAATACTGATGCCCTGGCCCTTTGGGGGAGCAGTTTCCAGCCCCTGGTTTGAGGGCTGTGTGGAGGGACCCCCGGCTCTGTGAGCAGGTCCTTCTTCACTCAGGGCTGCTGAGCGCCTGAAGTGGGAGTTCCTGGCGCCTTCCACAGGCTTGTTGGGTACCCTGAGCTGCTTCCTGGGCACCTGCTCAGTGTGGTCCCTTTCATTCGCAGAGGGCCCGGGGCTGGATTCTGGCCAGCAGGAACAGCTGGTGTTCAGCAGTGGGGACATCGTGGAGCTGAGCTGCCACCCACCTGGAGGTGGTCCTGTGGGGCCCACTGTCTGGGACAAGGATGGCATGGGGCTGGTGCCCTCAGAGCGTGTCCTGGTGGGGCCACGGCGGCTGCAGGTGCTGAACGCCTCCCAGGAGGACGCTGGGGCGTACAGCTGCCGGCAGCGGCTCACCCGGCGCCTGCTCTGCAACTTCAGTGTGCGTGTGACAGGTGAGAACTGCCCGGCTGCTGGACTGGGTGGAAGGGCTGTGTCACTCAGTTTTCTGAGTGCATGGAGACCCTGTGGCCGTGCAGCTGTAGCACCTCTTCCCTAAGGGTCTTGCAGGTCATTGACAGAGAGGAGGGTACTCCTAAGAGTCATGTCTGAATGGGGCCCTCCCCCTTCCCAAACGTGGGTGTACCTGGATACAGGCTGTCATGGGGCACTGCCCACACATACTCTTCTCCCCTGCCTTGCAGATGCTCCATCCTCAGGAGATGATGAAGATGGTGAGGATGAAGCTGAAGACGCAGGTAGGCCTAGTCCCCACCATGTAGGCTGGCCAGGGCAGTGCCTGCTTTCTGCCTGCCAAGCCCTGCCTGGTTGACCTCCTAGAATCACACTGAGGATTGGGTCCCCTCAGGGTGAAGGAGGGCTGGGTTGTGGAGATGGCTCTGATGCCTGGGGTTAAGGGTGATAGCAGCTGCCATCTAGAGGGAGAGTTGTAGCCACAGGCTGTAAAGGGGAAGCTGGTGACCCCCATGGATGGGCTGTGTGAGCAGTCAGGGGACAATGCTTGGTGTCTTTTTTTTTTTTTTTTTTGTTTCGTAGCCTCAAGCTATCCCCCTGGGTAGAGTGCCATGGCATCACGCTCACAGCAACCTCTAACTCCTGGGCTCAAGCGAGTCTCCTGCCTCAGGAGACTGGCCATTTTTTGGTTGCAGCCATCATTGTTGTTTGGCGGGGCCCAGGCTGGGGATTCGAACCCGCCTCCTTAGGTGTATGTGGCTGGCGCCTTAGCCGCTTGAGCCACAGGTGCCGAGCCAATGCTTGGTGTCTTGACCTGGAACAGTGGCACGTGAACTCTGACCACCAGGGAGGGTGGTGTGAGGCAGGGCTTCTAGTTTGGGAGAAGCTGCAAGGTATGCATTTGCAG